TGGATCGATGACTATTTCCTTTTTTCTATACAAATCAGCATATATATCACGATGTTGAGAAGTATATGTTATATGTAACATAAATAAAGCGGTTGGTTGGGTTGGTAATATATGTCAATCCACATTTGATGGTAGGATGGTTTATTTTGAAGTATATACTTAGCGGTAGCTATAAAAATACGTTGGTCTAAGAATGGAACTGTTCTACTAGCCATGGGCCAGTTTGATAGAGCCTAAATACCACATCTGCCGGTGGAATACATAAGACTTTGGCAATTGTAACATGCTTATACATACAAAATGAAAACCCCAATGGGAACCGCTCACAAAGTGGGATATTTTCCCGACACTGGTCTTCTTAAAATCTTATGTGTGAGACTTAAGGTTGCAAAACGAAAGAAAAATTACCTCTCTTCATCCAACCAGACGAGAAGTGCGAGTCATCAAGTTTTCACTGGCCTGGCGAGAGTGCCTTAGAGCCCACGTACTTGTTACGTAGAAGATCTTGACAAGACCCACCGTAGATCTTTGTGTATGTACCGTAGATCTTTCTAGTTCGATCGACAGTCATTGTCATTTTTTTATACAAATCAGTGAAGGCAACGTATACAAAATCACCCCATAGAAGATCTTGAGTAAACCCATAGTAGATCTTTGTGTATACACCATAGATTTTTTTTTTCTACTTGGATCGATGGTCATTTTCATTTTTATATAAAATTCGGTGTAAGGCTACGTATTCAAAATCACGGCGTTGAAAAGTATACCTTACATTAATTTAACATGAATAAACCGGTTGGTGGGGCTGGTAATATATGCCAATCCACATTTGATGGTAGCAGGGTGACTCATTTTTAAGTACTACATACTTGTAGGCAGCTAAAAAAATGGTACCAATAGTGGTCCATGCAATCATACGAAGTATTTTTTTTTGTATGTGGGAGTTGTACTCCCCACCACGTTACCCACCGTAAAATATAGGTAAACCAAGTTAAAGGGGTGCACACTTAGCCTTAATTTTCTGTATGTAAGAAGAAGAATGCCATGTACACATACTGCTTTAGTACTAGTATACATACATATGGATCGATCTATAGTGAAGTGAATATTTTTTGATAACTATAGAGAGGTGAATTAGCTTGGGGGCAGGTGTGGAACAAGTACAACTACAAGGTACCATCAACACACCTCATGCATCCCTCTCCATGACAAAGCCTGCTTACTCAGCTCGCAGCAAGCAAGTCTTCCTCCTCCTCTTCTACCCTCTAGCTAGCTAGCTTTCTCGATCCTCCATATATACAACACACACTAGATGAGGCCTGAGCTAGTCCACTGCACACCAACAAAAACCTCATACTAGATCAATCGAATCGATGGGGATCTAGGTAGCTAATTCTTGATCTTCCTGGTTTGCTTATCTGCAATTTCATGGCGCACAAGGTACTCATCTCTATTTCCTCTCCATCTCCTAGCTAGATACTAGATCAGGTTCATCGATCCCGGCCCCTTTAGGTCCATGCATCCTTTTCTTTAGCTTGCTCATGAAATCAAAGGATAACAAGGAGCTGTTTCCCAATCCCCACACACATCATATTCTTAATTCTGTAAACAAGTATCTATCACATGTATATATGGTTGTTGCTAGTTTTCGTCGATTCGATCTCTTTTGTGTTGACATGAAGCTTCTCTGATCTTCATTTCATTTGTGTGCAGATCCAGGGCATCATGGTGTGAAGAAAACAACTAATTAATCAAGAAAGCTTTGCTAGCTAGCCACCAAGAAGAAGAAGAGCAGATCAAGAAAGGAGCAGAGATCAGTTAGGTTAGGTGCAGATGGCCAACAGGTGGTGGGACGAAGGCCGGTTGACGGAGGCGCCGCCTGCATCAGGCCTCGCCAGCAACCAGAACCAGAACCAGAACCAGCAGCAGCAGCAGCTGGAGGACGCCATGGCGGCGCCCAAGGTCGACGGGGAGAGCAGCAACAGCGGAGGGGGCAGCGGGCAGGACGACGAGCCCAAGGAGGGCGCGGTGGTGGTGCCGGCGAACCGCCGCCCGCGCGGCCGGCCCCCGGGCTCCAAGAACAAGCCCAAGCCGCCCATCTTCGTCACGCGCGACAGCCCCAACGCGCTGCGCAGCCACGTCATGGAGGTGGCCGGCGGCGCCGACGTCGCCGAGTCCATCGCCCACTTCTCCCGCCGCAGGCAGCGCGGCGTCTGCGTGCTCAGCGGCGCCGGCACCGTCGCCGACGTCGCCCTGCGCCAGCCCTCCGCGCCGGGGGCCGTCGTCGCGCTGCGCGGCCGCTTCGAGATACTCTCCCTCACCGGCACCTTCCTCCCCGGGCCCTCGCCGCCGGGCTCCACGGGGCTCACCGTGTACCTGGCCGGAGGGCAGGGGCAGGTGGTCGGGGGCAGCGTCGTGGGCGCGCTCACCGCAGCCGGGCCCGTCATGGTGATCGCGTCCACCTTTGCCAACGCCACCTACGAGCGGCTGCCGCTGGACGACGCCGAGGAGGATCACCACCAGCTCGACGCCGCCCGCAGGCACGGTGCCCCCGGTGCTGGTGTTCCTCTTCCTCCGATGATGGCCGGCGACCCCTCCGCCACGGGGATGCCGATGTACGGCGTGCCGCCGAACCTGATGCCGGGAGGTGGCGGGCACGCGGCACCGGAATGGGCGGCGCATGCACGGCCGCCCTACTAGCTACCTACCTAGCATCAATCAGTCAGGACTTCAGGAGTGGTCCATGTGTCGACCTCTCCGAGCATCATCAAGATCAGATCTTCAACAAAGTCCATCGTCATACCAATAACTAGAGAAGAACTTGCATTGCATATACATCTAGCAGCTGGTAATTAACTAGAATCTCTGCTTAATTTGCTTTTGCTTATTATCTGTGAAAAATCATCTGGAGTTGCTTGCTCTAATTCATGTATGAGGAATTATATATATATGAGCTCCTTTTACTGCCAGCAGATTGATTAATTAGTGATTGTATGGTAAAATACAAAATCTCCAAATGTATGACTCTTATATACACTCCATCTCTTGGATTATTGCATGCATATATAGGGGACCGAAACTACTACGCGGACGATAGTAGCCTAGACGAACGCTGGACGATATTTGATTGAACGGTGTTGGTCAGTTTTGCTCCACGCATCAATGGCTTGATCTGCTGAATCGTCTGAAAATCGTCCAGGGTTGTCGTCTATGTAGCAACGCTCATAGGGGACGAAGGAATGGTGAATATAAATACATAGCTTGTTTCATGCAATTATTACATTTAAGTGAGCACAAGAGCCTGACATTGCTGAGAAATATTGATAATGAATTCCACAATTCTCGCAATGATGTTGCAAGATTAATCAGTTTTGCTTGGGCCGATAGATCAATGTATACAAGATACTTATGGAATTTAATCTTCTGACTAACTAAAATAAACTTTGCTCGAGTCATCTTTTTAGCAAATTTTACTCGATCGACATTGCTCAATCCTTGGGTTACATGAATTTTATTCCACATTTCTAGCACAGTTTTGACAAGTTGAAGTTGCGAAGAGTGCAGAGGTGGCCATGTGTGGTCATTTCATCAAGTTTACGGGCCTTTTTTATATAAGTCTTTTTAGAGATTTATACAAGTCTTTGTCTAAACACAGTTTTCAAAGCAAAACCCTAATACCATATGGTTGTGTGCATCAATTAATGCAGAGGCCAAGCATGCTATCCTCCTTTTTTTTGAAAACATTAGTAGTTTGTCTATGGTTGTAGGACCAAAAAATGATTTTTTGTTTTTGTTTTTGTTTTAGGGATTAAAATGCATTCACTGTATGGCTTTCTTGTTTAGGAAGAAAATTCAGAACATGTTTAACTTGATAAAAGTTTTGCTTTGTGATTTGTCAAACTGGCATTTACAAGGAAAATACAACAAGAGTGAAAACAAGCTGAGTTCAAAGTTTAGGGACACATCTACTTTCATGGTTTGCAATAAAATATATATAGCTTAATAATTAACTAACCATATTGTGTGGTTTAATTGTATATGCTAAACATATGAGACATAAGATATTTGTAGCAAAACTTCAAAAGTTTGATTGACCATTTGCATTCGGAATTACTCAAGTAATAACCAGAAGAGAGCAGTGTAGTACCAGTGGTGCTTCTCCATTTGCTAACTTGGCAAAAAGAGGTGACTGGTCGAGCACGTTGATGTCATTGCAAGATCCAGGCATTCCAAAATATGAATGTCAAAACCGTCAAGTTTCATCTTTTTTACCTTGGGGAATTTCATCGAACACCTTGCTTGCGGGGTGGACGAAATCGGTCGGCTGCGGGGTGGGCTGCCATTCGGCGGCGGCGGGTGCGAGCAGCGGTGACACGCCTCGGCAGAGGAGATGGTCGCAACTCAGCAGAGAAGAAGGCGGGAGCTCGGCGTTGCCGGCGGCCGACATTACGCGGCCGGAAGAACGGCCGATGCGGGCGGCGTGGCGCGCCTTCCCTACCTTCCGCGAGGTTTCTTGGCTAGGAAGAAGCCTAGCCCATTCACGACCATGCCATGGAAGGCATTAGGCCAGGCGGACCGCCGGAGATGCTTCGATTCAAAGAGGCGACCGAAAGGGAATCGGCGGCTACGGGCGACGGCCCTGGCAAGGCAGGTGCGGGGGACGGGGGTGAAGTCGCGGCGGGCCCGGCGGCCGTTAGGCGGGCAACGGTGGCGTCGATTTTGTGCGAATTTGGCCGGAGGTCGAGCGGTCGCGTGGAAGGGAGCGGAAGGCGGTTGGGCAGTCGGCGTGCGGCTGCCCTTTTTACATCTCCAGTTGGCGGAGATGCAAATCTGCACCACGAGGTGTTGTATTTTACATCTCCGGGAGGCGGAGGTGTAAATTTTAAAAAAAAAATTCATCTACATCATCTATTGTAGAGGTGTTTTGGGGCTTCGAAAATGCAAAAAGTAGTTATTTTTGCATATACATCTTGTATTGGAGATGCTATCTAAATTCATGTTTTAACCATGAATCTACCATACAATGTTCAGTCAGTGGTCGCAAAACTGTAGTCATACGGAAGTATTTTGAAATACTTATTTGATGGCTATTTCATGTGACATAAATTATATATACTGATAGACTAATTATTTTTCAAAGCATTAATTTGGATGGTCAAAAGAAGTCCAATAGAAGGTATAGTACAGTACGGTGTATAGTACTCCGTTTTGATCCCATCAGTCTAAAATTTGCTGTGCAGTCAACATACTGGTATGAGACTTGTGCTCTGTAGATTATACAATGGCGTGGTCCAATATTCGTTCGTCTCCCCTCGCGTGCTTGCAACGGACAGATCGATATGAAAAGGGCTGAGTAGCTACCTATAGCAGCTGTCCCCTTAGATTTTAAATTTTAAATTTAAACCCAAAAGCAAATTGATCGTATTGCACAGAGGTGCATGCCTGTACTTTGAGCTCAGATACATGTGTGCGTGCTTCCATTATTCTAGTATACAATTTGCACGTAAGCTAGTGCATATATATATACATGCAGAGAGAGAGAGAGAGAGAGAGAGATACCCGAGTGCATCGTTTTGGTGCTTGGGCTAATGGAGCCTTTTTTATGGAGCATTCAAAAAATCACAATTCAAAGTTTTAGAAAATTCTGAAAACAATTCCACAAATGACATATGGATGCATATATGCTACATGTGTGTAAAATTTCATGAGAAAATACATTGATTTGCGAGCTACATAAGAAAATGGAAAATGTTGGTTTTATGTAGTGATCACTGTTGTACTGTTCACTATGTCCAAATTCACCAACTTGTCCTTTTTGTGTAGCTTGCGTATCAATTTATTTCATAATAAAATTTTGCACACCTGGAGTATACATCCGTATGATACTGTGTTGATTTGATTTCAAAATTGTTGAAGTTTTTCTTTGAGTTGAAAAAAGAGCTGTGTGTAGCCCGAGCACCAAAAGGCATTTCTGGAGATACCCTAGATTTATTATTTGAATGATTAACAAACGGGTGCAACCATTATTACTATTATATTTCAATTATTTGCATGTTTTTCTTAGCGATATTTGCAAGTGTTGTTGCCTGGTCCACACACGCATATAATGTGTTATATCCACATATTTGGAGCGCTATGCAGGTACGATTTACATTTGTTTTTCAATTAATTCAGCTACCAGTCATAACATAATTGTAACTTACACTCCCTATGTATATGTAAATGTCATGGTGTTTCTATAATGTGTTGTAATGATATCTCTCATAGCTCACGGGCAACTTACTAGTAGGGTATATATAGGAGTGCGGATTTTTGGCTCCAAGGCTCCATGAAACCCGGTATTTTAACAATAAAAAATGATATTTAAACTTTCAAACAAATTCAACCATTTTTCTTTGAAATGTATACACATTCCGTACATATATGTAAACTTTCATTAAATAATATGGTGATCGGTAAAACCCAAATTTCCCTCCCAGAAAAAGACCAATTGATATATGTATCTGTCATTTTTTTTGTATGCCACATATAAAATACACTGTTATGAAATTTCATACTTTACATATAATAAATGTAATTTTATATGCACACCGATTTTTTTGTCAATGGGTCTCTGTTCTGTGTAGTGCTTAGATAGGTGGGCCAAATGTGAAGCGGCTAGTCCATGATAGATATGAACTTCACTCAATCTGGCCCAGCCCAGTTTGCGGCAGCGCCTGCTGCGCGTTCGCTGTTTCGTTCTTTTCGTTTGTTTCTTTTTTGTTTTGTTTTCTTCCTTGTTCTTTCCTGTTTTTATGGTTGTTTGTTTTTTTAGGTATTCTTTTTATGTGTTTTTCTTTCCGCTTTTTTCTTTTCCTTTTTCTTTCATTAATATGTTATAATAAAATTTTCATCAAGCATTTTTTCACTAAAGCATTATTACGAGGAACAATTTGTGTTTTTTGTGTCTTATACAAGAGTTAATCATTTATTAAAAAAATGTTCATAGTATATTTAATGAAATGTTTAATGTATATTAAGAAAATGTTCAATGTTTAAGAAAAAATAATCATTCTGTATTTAAAAAATGTTTGGTGAATATTAAAAAAATGTTGAATGTGTATTTAAAAAATATTTCAGCGTATATTATAAATATGTCATGTGTGTGTTTAAGAAGTGTTAACCGTATATTACAAAAATGTTCAATTTATATTTAAAATGTTTAATGGTTGATTTTTTTTGGATCTATCGCTGCATTTCATGCATCGTATTAATCACTAAGTTCAAGTGGTAAAGAACACTTTGCTCTCTACCGTGGGGTTGCGAGTTTGATTCCTTGATAAAGCATCGTTTTGAGAGGGATTTTAGTAACATCTCACTATGACACCGCCGAATGGGATAGAGCACCATTTTTTGGAATTTTAGTAGTGTCTTGCTATGACGCTACCAAATGGACCAGCCCATTCAGAACTTGCATGTGCGAAAGCTCGTCTGTTTGACACTCGTGAGCGTTAGCTAGAGCTCTCGTGGTTGTGGAGGGAGTCCCTATACCTTTAAATATCTTGTAAAGATATTTAAAGGTTAAAGGTGTGTGTGTGTGTGTGTGTGTGTGTGTGTGTGTGTGTGTGTGAACACATAAACAACGTAAATTAATCTAGAGGCATGTGTGTTTGTAATTGAGATATAAGAATTGTATATCAATACAATATATCTTAATAACA